CTCGGTCTATAATATTATCCCGTATTTAAGGCTTGGATTTCTTTCGAAATTAATTAATTATTTTCTGACTGAGATTGTGACTTTTAAATGTCTTCGTTTTATAACTTTACATTGATTCTAAATTAAATGATAAATTAAAGACGTATATTCACAGGGATTCTAAATCAACATAATATTGATCTAAGAAACACGAGAATTATTACTATTAAACTCATGTGTAATTAAATATCTACGTATCACAAACAATTATGTACACGTAATGATTTATGTAGCGTAATAGAGAAGCCAAATTCGATATTGTTTGCCTTACAAATTGCATCATTGATTATATTCATGCCGGCCGAATTGTGGCTAGCAGCAAAATCTACTTAATTTATCAACATCAAACGTTGTATAGTAGTGGGTATTGGCTAGCAGTCGGTAACTGGGCACGTCACCTTCAGGCCAATGTATGGAGCATTAATTACCGTCAAGATTAAATAAGAAAGGCGCCAATCGAAAGGAATAAGGGTGGAATTACGACAGAGGCAGCATTTGTCCCGACGACTAATAAAGGAGACAATATTGCACTCGATACGTATAAATGTGCGAGCAGTATTTGGGGCGCGATATTAATTTCGCCAGTAATTGCTATCGGCTTCCACCCGAGGCTGCAGCCATGAACCATGAATACGGGAGTTACCGCTATTTGTTCCTGACGTTGCGGTTTAGGGTTTTACCTCGACCCCGCTCCCGTATATTTATTTTCTTGGAGTTTTGTCCAAACAATAGCGAATGGATTATCAGACTGGTTTCGATAGTTCGGGCCTAACGCCGCGGAAAACAATGGCTTTATTTTATTTTATACGAAACTCGTGTTCTATATGTAATTAACATTTGAGAGTAAATGTTTGCGGAATATTGTTTTAACTGTAATTAAAGTGATTAGTAGGTTATTACGTTTATTAGGTACATTCCTGTTAGTAATTGCAATAGATTTGTTTTTGTGTTCTTTGTGCCTAATACAGGTATACAGTTTTAGAATTTGTTCGTGTTACCGTAATAAACATAATTGATAACATGTGTCCGAATAGTGATAACTGTGATTAACGATATGTCAATTATATGTTAACTGAAAATTGTTAGTTTTTATTGCATTTATACATTTAATAGGCAAAGGTTATAGATTTAACTCGTCGAATACCGTCATTATAGACACAATTATAGAACAATAGGTTGCGGTCACCGGTGACCGCTTGGTGTTTGACAGTTTTAGGCTCAAAATATAACGTGTTAAGTGTACGTATTACGCTAGTCATTTATCATTATCTTATTACTTCTCACACAACTGTATGATGAAGCATCAATTCTTTTAGAAATCGATACGTTATGAGACACACATAAAATGTTTTTACACCGATTGGAATAACAAAAACCATTCATAAGCTTATTACCACCGTTTTGTACGAGAGAATTGAGTTGTTCCTCTTTTGCAAGTGGAAGAAAATAAGGCACGTCCCCTTAAAGATAAGTACGACGTAACTCCATTCGGTAAAGGGCCTCTCCACTCGTAGCTCGCGTAGTGGCTCCAAGTTTACGAGAGCCCCCCCGTCCCCTGTATCGGTGTGAAGATCGGGCCAGATAGGGGTTATCGAAAGGTACACTGGAGGTCGATTAGAAGTGGTCGGGCTGCACATAGTCGGCTTGATGCGCGGTGTGAACGGAGGCCCTCGTTATTTTCAATTTCCATACACGAACGCCCTTCCCTCTATACGTTTTCGTATACGAGTATGAGACGCGAGTGTATTAAGCCATGAATCTTATAAAGACCTGAGCTGATTTAATACGTTCCCGTGGCTGGGTACGATTGTTTTTGGATGTATGAAATACTAATAAAACGGAGTTTATCGATGACAGCCTTTTGTGTACCGTACGCTTGCGTGGAACTTTGGAAGGAATAAAATTTCAATAATTTATGAACATAATTTCGTCGGTACAAGGATTGGTATTGCTTCATGACATTTTCGGCTTACGAGTGGGCCCGTTTATTTTATATTATCCTAAAGTTGTCGTTTACAAAAGAAAAGTACGTTATAACACGTTTTTGCTTCGAAAAATACGTTTCGAAGTAAAACCAATTAAACACGTTGTAAGAACGTCTGTCGAAACCGTGGCGAAATTCAAATTAATTTAAGACATTTCGCATTATCATAAGCTTTAAAAAAAGGTTTTTCCGGGACACAGTATCACAGGGAAACTCCATTATGAAACCGCTTACGTGAATTTTTAGCAAAATGAAATGAGCGTTTGTGTATAACTGCACAATATAATGAAAAGAGATTGGTACTTATGCATTAGCTTGTAATATGTTGGGGGCTGATTAAATTTTACATTTGATAATTTTGCTTTTGATATTATTTTGTATTCAGTAGGATGTGTAGGGAACAGAGGGCGGAGGGTGAGTGTAACGCAAACAGGAACCATGGTTCCAGACCCATTCAAATTACTCTCGGAAGTTTTTTACGAAAGCCCCTTCGACCCCTGTGCAGGCAATATGTATGTAGGTGATGTTATATCGAAGTGTCTGTCTGGAACTGTTTTTGTTTGATATATGAATCTATGCGTCATAGAGAAAAGCTTTGAAATCTTTGAACGGTTACAAAAACTATTAGTAAACATGTAAAATGTACCTTAACCACTGGTTCAATAGTCGCAATTAGGATGAGTTACCAAAGAAGCATAAAAATAAAATTAAGATTCCTTTAAAGACGTACTATTTATGGCTTGTTCTAATTTTTTCTGATCTTTTAATGAGATACATTTCTAAAAGGTCTTATTCTTAAATACACTTATAAAGCGTTTTAGGCATGAAAGTAATTTCTAGAACACGTAATTAAATTTTTGCAAACGTTGTCATTCATATTTTTTGATACAATCATACATATTAACATAAATTTAAAATGGTTTTCTAAGTAAATCCGATATTTCTTTATAACTTAACTATCTTACCAAAGTAATTTCTAAGAATGTGTTCTATTTTATATAATATTTCTCACATTTCTACGGAGTCATATTTTATCATTTTACTTATAAATAATAGTAGGTAACTTTCTTTTATTTTTATTGTCTAACATTTATTTCAGGATAAAAGAAATAGTTTGCCTTTTTCTCCCTATGTATAAGCTGTCCTTTTATTTTCCGGGGTATTACATCAGTTCCGAGAACTAACCTAAACCTGTCCAAATCGTACTAACTCGAGAGCAATCGAAGAATTACGAAACTCACAAAGAAACCAAATTGGCTTTGTCTATGACAGTTTTTCCGGGAACATGGCCACTCAAAAATATTAAGGAAGCCTTGTTATTATAACACATTTCTGGCAACACCTGTAGGTAGCAAGCCGTCGGTGTACAACGAGAAAATTGTATTTCCATTTTTACAATTTCAATTTAGTATTAATTCGAGGCCCGAGAACGGTCGGGCGCGCCGCCACATGTAAAATATGGATCGGCTAAGTGAAATTAAAATGCTCTATAAATTGTGATTTTTGCAAGTCCTAAAGTGGAGAAGGCTTTTTATTATTTATCGCTACCCGGCCGCGGCCAGCGCCCCGCTTACTGAAAATCGCTGTGTTATTATTCAATTTACTTGTTTGAAATATTAACTTCGATGTGAATAATCTTTGTATTATCATGTCTTATGGATTGAACACTTCGCTACATTTTATTTCGAACGATCATTATTTTTATTGTAAGACGATTTCATTCGCGTTTATTAATAATAAAATGGTTGAACTTGTCTGAATTCAGAAATTATTTATTAAAATATGCATGCCTACATACACACAGAAATACATATAGGTAACAATATGATAGAAACACCTTTCTACAACTTTCTACAACAATTAATATTTCTACCGATAATTTAAGAACTTATAAGTACTTAAAAAATCCATAATCCCCAGTAGCATAACCAAAAATCCAGGATTCGAGTCTATATTTTACTTTTATAAAGGAGCTGAACAAACTTGAAGGTTGTGTAAAACAAATATAAACGTCATTAGGGTGGCCATGTCGGGTCGTCGCGCAATCAGCGGGACAGTTCCTATCACCCGTCCACTCGTTCCTGTTTCTGTGGACACTGCACGTTTCTAATGTAACTTTTTACAATTTTACATGTTAAGTACCTGCATTTAGAATTGTTTAAAATGTGAAAATGAGATTTAAGTTTTGTAAGAAATTCGGTTAAATGATATTTTTTATGGGATAAGCCAGTAAGTCGACGGATCACCTGATGGTAAGCAATCGGCGTGGCCAACGGACATTCGAAACACCAGAGGCGTTACAAGTGCGTTACCGACCTTTTAGAGATTAGGAATTTGAGGATTGTTGGGGATTAAGGAATTGGGGAGATGGTAATTGGGCCTCCGGTAACCTCACTCAGGGTGCGCGGGCCTGCGGACGGCGAGCATGGGTGGCTCCCCGTCCGACCAGAAACAGACCCGAGCGTACGGCGCGTCGCGTTCCGCGCGCGCCTCAAAGAGCCATCAGACCACCACAGATGGGGCCCAATAGGGCCGATGCCGATTCGGAGTCGCGGAGAACCTAACGGGTAACCGGGGCTCCGGCTCGACGTGCAGGAGAAGGAACGGGGTGGTTTTTAGTCAGTAAGAGTCTGACACTCCCTCCCGCCTCACCCAGGCGGGGGCAGTCATTCGATGATTTTCCCCCCTTAAAAAAAAAAAAAAAAACCTCACTCAGGCGACGAAACACAATGCAAGTGTTGTTGAATCATGAAGTGATTGTTTTTTAACAATATCATAGTGTCGTCATGTGTTTCATTATAGGCCATTCGTATTCTAGGCGAGAGAGCGATCAAACGCCATCCCATCAAAAAAAAAAATATATTTTTTTATTTGAATTACCTAATATCTTTTCAGAGAAATTAATGTCAGATATTTCTGTTCTTATTACTATATTGTTTTGTTACACATTAATAAAACGTAAATTTAATTGTTCCAGGGGCTTTGGTTTCATCACATTCGGCGACCCAGCTAGCGTAGACAAAGTATTAGCTCAAGCAACACACGAATTAGATGGCAAAAAGGTAAGTCACTGCAAACTTTTATAATGATTACAATCATCATAACAAATTTCAATAAACTACATTTAAAAAAAAGATTACGATCTCCTTTTGAAAATTCGGCAGGAGCCGAATTCACAATACAATTAGGAATTTAGGAATAGGAAAAAATACAATTAGGAAATTGTAACAAATATTTTTCTGGAAACCGCATCAAAATCGATTCAACCCATCGCAAGATAAATCGCGGAGAAACATACATACCTACATACAGGTCCAACTGAACCTACCCTTCGTTTTTTCTGAAGTCGGTTAAAAGATATCAATAAAGAGAAAAATCCACCACGGTAGTTCAAATAGCAGTGTTATAAAATACGAAAAACTTAAGTCAGTTTGAAGTTATTTTTACTTCATAAGATTCGCCCAAAGAACTCGCGAACTATGCAAAATAGGTTTGATAGTAATTCACAAAAAGTATAAGGATAATAAAGTCGTACTTTTAAACTTCATTTTTAGTTTTTTAGTTGAGTTTTCCATTCAGTTTCTTTATACACAACTGAGTGGGCTGCTTATTATTGAGTGTGAGTGTAAAGTGTAAAATATTCATTGAGTTTTGTAACGATTTGTGCATAAATTTACGTGTTTTACAACTTGGGTAGGTTTTGTATGAAACAATGATGTGTGCTCATGTTGCCCATAGCTGCACATTGCCTTTTTTATTTTAAAATGTAGGAAATGTACTTTTTTCTACATAACACATAATAAAGAAGGATATATCATAATGCATCCCAACATCACATGTCCTACTCTGACGTGAAAAAGCATTTCGAGGTGAATAAAGCACGCACTTTTTTCTTCATGTCTTAGTAATCTCACTGGGCCGAAATGTAAAATCCAAAATGTAAAGAATTTTCCAACAAAACACCCACTATGAATTGCATACTAAAATGACGGCAAAAATCTTAACCCAAAATGGAGTTATCATAATAATACCTCTTTTAGAGAAATGGCCCTTTTCGCCTTTAAATAATTTTATAAGATATTAAAATGAACTTTACCATTTATTTTCTCCAATTTTATATCTTCTGTGAGGCAGTTTTTTCTGTCAGAAATATTCCAGATTTATAACCCTTCAATAAACTGACTTGCTCGTATTTTCAAGGGCTTATTTAGCCTTAGCCCAGAAACTGCTCGAAAGGCCATTTTTTTCTTCGTCTTGATTCACAAAATATATGATTTTCTTAGCCGTCCTCCGCGTATACAGATACGATATTTAATCAAAAGCTTACTGTTGCTGACTGGGTAGTAAAATAAATAGGAAAAATCCCGCGTTATATCTATAAGCCAAATAGAAAAACTTAAATAGGAATTTTGTATCAAAGTAAGTAATAAAATTGGCAACAACAATTGTTATACGAAATATATGTTTCTGTATTTATTCTTTCTTCCTATATACGGTAACCAATTATTTGTATTGAACTTAACTAAAAACTGAAGTAATTGATGCGGATAGAAGTTGCACAATTACCATAAAAGAGATCAGTTAACTGCGTCTGAGCATGTTTGTTCATCTCTTATTATAATAATATCTTTTAAATATTTACAATTGCACATTTTATTAAAAACCATTTGAAGCCTTCCAATTTAGTACAGTCTATATTTCTATTTGACAAAAATGTAATCATTCCAATACTTTCGTTCTAAATAAAAAAGTATATACAAATGAACAGAAGAGGAAAATAAACCTAGTTTAAAGCAAATTACGATTGAATGTTGTTTGCTTCCAATGGAGCGTTCCTTAAAAGAGATTAGATTGGCCGCTCAAATCAAGAAATGAACAATGTTATTCACTATTGATTTACTTTAAACTATGCTGTCGGTTCTTGATAATATTCTAAGAATTATTTATCCAATTGTACAAAATTTGCCTTTTTAAATTCAAATATCGAATTCAGTGTTTGCATATTAACCGTTATTTTTGAACGACTTCGAAAAAGGAGGTTCTTTATTTACGTGTATGTATCTATGTATGTGTATTTTTTTAGTTTAGTATTAGATAATCTGTAAACGATTCTTTTACAAAAAAGTTTCATATAAAAAGTAACAAAATCAACAAAACAACGCTATTAATAAAACAATAGCGAAAACATAAAGTCGATTCTCAACAGCATTGTCAAAGAAAACGTGTGGGAGGAACAAGAAAAGTCGACCTATTATTAATATCTGCGAGTGCTGTCATTACAATACTTAATAAGCTATCATTACCCATGCTTTTACCACGGAAAAGTAACGACAATTTTTAAATAAAATTCTCGTATTATGCAGGAGGTAACATACAGAGTGACATTAATTACGGGGTTGTATTTTACCTCTCCTCCGGCCATATAAGCCCGACGCCACCATATAGTGTTAAATCACAGCTGCTTTTAATATTTACACACGAAAATTTGTTTTCCTACAATTAAATTACGTGCAATTTTAATTCGCCCGGTTGACTTGTGGCCTGCGTCAAAACTTACTGTTTCGAATTTTTAATTAATTCCGTTAAGCGTAAGGTTTATTTTTATTTACAATTTTAAAACTACATACTCGGTGCTATGTAGTGCACATTTTCGTTTAGTCATTTTTACGTTTCATTAACTAAAAGTTGTATTGTTACATGTTTCGGCTTCACGGTGAAACATTACCTAGTTTTTTCGTATGATGGAAATCGTATTTGTATTTACGCCAATTTATTACGTTCAATGTCCATTTATTTTGGCTTCGAATGTATTTTAGGAACACACGAATGGGTCAACTGTTGCGAATGTTTTATTATACAAATGTAACGAAATATTTCGATAAAGCGTAGTTTCCGCCAAGTATGGTGGTAAAAACATAAGAGATACTGTTATTTATATAACGTCTTGCCATTTATGTAGATAATAATCATCTCTGTATCTTGGGATTCGAGACACATTACGAGCTGAGTCCCGAGCATTCTGTGTACAGATAGAGAAAAAAGTCGATTACTATCGCTCGCCACGAAATAATCCAGATAAATTACAGCTCCCGTCGTTGTTTACTTTGATTAAATTGTAGTCGACTGGCGGAAGATTAGCTGAAGCCTCGCAAATCGAGCGAGAAGAGAGAGCATTTACTCAATTTACATAGAACGAACGCGGAAGATCGCAACTCTGTTTACACGACACGATTTTATATTGACTGCCGATACTATTGTTGTTTGCTGTACTATTAACGACTACCAGTTATTATTGTGCCAATTACTGGCAGTTTTAGTACGTGGTACTATGAAAACAATGTACCAATAAATCACGGAGGGAGCAAAACGTTTTAAATCTATCGTTTAACAAAAAAAGCTTCCGCACAAAACGAAGTATTAATCGAAAATTCATTATTACAAAATACAGCGTTCTATGAAGATTCGGAAGAAAATTAAAACCTTTAAGAGGATTTTTAAGGCTCCGTATAATCCAGTTATTTTTTTAAATCATAAGGTTTGCTTAGAATTTTATTATACTGGTATTGAAAAGGGTATAGAATTTAAAAGATTATGGAACTTTTGCCAGCGTGGCGGGTGCGGGTAGATGAATAGTTTAATATCGTTTTCTATTTAATGAAACCTTTACCTTGGAGTTTTTGAGTGATATTATTTTATAGACTAATACGAATATTATATAATATGGAGCTGCAAATTCGCTTTTCATTATTTCTACTTAGATATGTACAATATTATTGGAAGTTTTTACTCGCAATAGTTTGATAGTTAGATCAATGTTTTATAAGAAAAAAAAGTAACTTTCTCCAAATCGATATTCACACTTTTTTAATCTAAGGAATATATGAAGTTGTATAAATTCATAGAAAACGATAACTTTCCAAAAACTTCGTATCGTAAACATATTTTAACAATAATAGTATAAAATATACCATCCCTTGCCTAACAAGGGTGTTAAAATATACAACAGCTAGTTTCTCCATTGTTAATATATAACAACTTGGCATATTCTAAGAACTTGTTACTGAATCAATAATGACACAGCAGTTCTGGCGTTCAGTACTACGTATAACTACACCTACATATATACAATAATAATATTATTATTAGAGGTATAGTAGACGTTAAATTCTATGGCTCCTTGGCCGAGTAGTTGCAAATGCGACGGCTTGGCAAGGGCTCTCGGGTTCGATTCCTGGGTCGGTTTTTTTTAAAAACATTCTAGAAGTAGCACGGAGTTTATGATTGTGCCAGGTATATTGGCAATAGGCTCACACCCTATTACATGACTTATAAGATAAATAGTGAAAAGTTGGTGTTACATTGTACAGTGGCATACGGTTATGGTCTAGGTTGACCTAAGTAACTACCTAGATGCAGACATTACCTACATACATAACATCTGGCTTGTCTCCCATGGGGGTAGGCAACGCCAATTGCTACGATTCTTACACACCTCTTTCGCTTCATCAGTCTTTTCATCCATGATCGTCGGTTAAGGGTACTTTAAATTTGTTTGTAGTTTCTTCAATCACCAATCTTGTCAATATATGTCCATCTAGGGCGCCCTCTACCTAGATCTGGATCAAAAAAGAAAGAAATAACAACAGTTTCAATTCCATATACAATAGAAGTTAATCGCATGTCTTTACATCGTAAACTGTTCACATTTTTGGAAGTACGCCTGAACATAACTGCTTTCAGGATCATCAATATTTATATAAAGGTTTACGACAGTACCACTAAACGTTGTGCACATGGCGACCCCTATGTGAATGGTATTAAGGCTCATAATGCGATATCCTACTGCTAAATAATATATTTTTGTTGTTTATTTATTGTTTCCAACGTTCGTATGTGTTTTATTTTGTACTGAGATTTTTGGTTTTGTTTTGTTGTAGGTAGTTGTTGCTGGTGTGGTTTAGTTACTGAATGACTATGAAAGTTTGTT